TTAATTAAAGTTCATGTTTAAATATAATTTGAATGATGATAATCTTCGTTATTGCATTGAAAAGTGATGATTATACAACGTCATAATCTTAGATCTTTCATTTTTCATGTTGGCTAGAAACTTTAGTATGAATGTGCAATGCGAACTTAATGGGGGGGGGAAGCATGGAGAAAAGTTTGCATGTGATGAAAAGTCAATGACAGTATACATCACATGAATGTAAAAATACAAATACGTATATAGAAAAATTCTGGAATACTAACTAAATTGTATTTATTACATAAATACGAAAAATATAACGATCTATCCATAATTGATTCATTATTATTTAGTTTTAATTTTAATATTAATATAATTAAATTATAATTTTTATTAAAAATTATAATTATTTCGAGAATTTTTATTTGTTTATGATTAGAACACTTAATTTATATAAATTTATATAGTCATCCTAACAACAATCATCAAATCAACCATCGATGATACTATTTATCGCCGGAAGATCATGTTTTTCAACCTCAGTTTTAAATTCTCATTCATCCAGTCCCTATCGATTTTTAGCTGCTTTACAACCACCCCTCTTCCATCTTATAAGCAACCTTTATAAACAATCCTAAATTCACCTTCACCCAAAAGATTACGGTCTAAAAAAATATTCGTAACCTCGTGTAATTCTTCATATGTAAACAATGTTTTCAAATTGCCTAAATTGTCGAGTTCTGCCATCATTGGTGGTGAATGTATAAAATCACTTTCGAAACTAATTTCAATGAGAGGAGCTGAAGATTGTGTCTTTGTATAGGATGAATCTATAAGTATTGATTAAAACAAAAGCTCCAATTACATATAAATCGAAAATCATCAATAATTCCTTAAGCAACTAAATAAGCTAATACACCGCTGTGAAAAAATTTACATGATCTTGGGAAGAGCCTAGTGGGGATGATATTACATCCAACATGTAAGTAACACGATTTTTCGACGATGAATATAAAAATTTGTATAAATTAAGTGTTACAATCATAAACAAATAAAAAATCCTAAAATAATTATAATTTTTAATAAAATAATATAAAATAATTATATTCTTATTAAAATTAAAATTAAATAATAATAAAGGATTAAATGTGGATGTCGTTATATTTTTTAATATTTATTTAATATGGACAATTTAGTTATTGATACGCATCGGTGTGTCACATTAGCTAAATATGTTATTAATTAGGGTTAGCCTATTGCTTTATCAATGATATTTTTATTGATTTAATCTAATTTTTAAAAGTTTTTAATTGCTTGAACCAGTTTTTATTAAAAATGAGAATTAGCTAAATATGACAGCATCTCCTCAGTTCCAACGCACCATTACACAACATAGCATTCCCAAGATTTTTACCATTTTACTTGTAACAAATTGCTGAAGCACAATAGTTGATTGAATCATGGCAACCATAGCCTTTTATACTGATAGTAATTGTCTGACAAATACTGCCCCATGCTTCCAGCACCCATCACCTTCACTATAAAGTGAGCGTACGTGTGTCTGTGTAATCAACCCTAATTTTTCTGGTTTTGCTTTGATTATTTCTTCCTGGGAACACATTTCCCTCCTCGGTGATTTGACCTAATTGACTATTTTTTATTTAAATTTCTCCCGTTCTAATACCCATTAATCAATATTTATAGATGTAACGTCCTTTCGATTGAGGTGGCATAAAGGCGCATCTCTAGAGATGCGTTTTATCTGAGTTTATGTTGAGTCGGATGCCACGTGTGAAAGACGCATCCCCAAGGATTAATATTATCCTAAATAATTTTTTTTAATTTTTATTTAAAAATTATTTTATGATATTTATTTAATATAATAATTAATATTATTTATTATAAAAAATTAATTATTAATTTTAAAATATTATAATAATTCCACGTTCTAAATAGAAAAAAAGTATTAAATTAAACAAATTAAAAGTAAGATTAAATTGATAAAATATGTAACTATTGAAGATTATATGTGTAATTATACTAATTTTATTAATTTATGCATCAATATTTTTTTTAAATATTGATAACAAATTACTAGATTGATAATATTTAAATAATTAATTGATAAAATTAATAGATCGATAATAAAAAAATAATAGATATATAACAATACGTGTAATATTATAATTTTATACATTTTTCCTATAACTACAATAAGATCAAAACTTATTTTCATCTATTATTTCATCCGATTAATGTCGCGTGGAATGGGTGAATGCCAAAGTCCCTGAAACATATAAATACTAAAACCTAAATTCACTCCACCTTTAACACACATTTAAAAAATACATTCGATAATTATTAAATTATAATCGAAACACTTTACATAATATATTAATTATTTATAATAATAATAAAAATAAAATCTTTATTATTAAAAAAAATATAAGCATGACATTTGATTCAGCAGAATCCATATAAAGTGCATCCCCTTTCACACGTGACATCCGACTCAACATAAATTCAGGTTTAACGCATCCCAAAAATACGTCTTTGTGCCACCTCAATCGAAAGGATGCTATTTCAGAAAATATTAATGATCGGGTGGTAGAACCGGAGAATTAAAAAAAAAAAAAAAACGGGTCAGGTCACTCGGCCCTTCCTCCTCGTCCACTGTTTCACCAACCACCTTGCACCTTCTGTTCAATCAATATCAACTTCATTAATTTCGCTGTACCTAGCTATGAGTTCACTGTTGAACTTGAATATATCTGATAATCAAGTTCATTTTGTTTTTGCACGCAACATGTTAAATTGCAGAGTTAAACAGGAATCAAATGAATATAACCTTTCTTCATTGTAAGAATTGGATTTTTTGAGCACCGGTTCTCGTTTCTCAAAGTTCATGGACTCCACAATGCTGCCACTGAAATACTCTTTAGCCTCTAATTTACCAAGCCTTGAATTCTCAGACATGTAGTTTATCATCTCATCATCTTCAACGACCTTCTTCTTCACTGCACACTTACAAAGAGTCCCTCTGTGCCAATTTTCTCCCTTTTTCACCACCAGATTGTTTTGCACTACAGGTTGCTTCATAATAGGCACGTTCTTTGCTTTATTAACAACTAAGTTCCCACAGACAATAAGTTGAAGCAGAACCGAGCTTCGACTCGATGCTGACTCGGTGTCGACTGTTTCACCATCTTCAAACCTAATGGAGGATGTTGATAGAAGGGAAGAAAGTTGTTGAGCTTACTCGGAAACTGGTTTTTGGTGGTCTTGTTGGTCTTCAATCTCATCAGTAGAAACCCCTCTCGAGCAGCGAGAGCGAGGAGTTGTTGAGCTTGTGTAGCATGATTTCTCCTCATCGAACTCGTCCTCATCCTCTTTCTCTTCATCTTCATCGAAATCTTTCTCTTCCTTGGTGTGAAGGTTTGGTTCCTGAAAATGGTGAACCCTATTGCTGATTTGCAGCTGCTCTATTCTTCCCGCAACAAGCAAATTTTCCTTAATTCCTGTAAAAAAAAATTCGGATAAAAACAGTAACAGAGCAACCTTGAACCAATTCTGAGCCTTCGAGTACATATTCAGCACCATTCTTGTAACTCCTAACAATCAACCACTAAAATTAGTTGAAAGTAAACAAAAAATGGATTAAAGAATAGTTAACAATGTACCTTTTGCCAAACCAAGAGTAAAGAGAGGGCACTCCTTCGCCTCTAAGAGCAGTGAGTCTTTCCATTACATCTGCTAAACAACAAAACAAATGATGCGAAGGTGATTGGGAGGTTTTAAGTTTTAGTTTGACCTCTCAAACAAAGTGGCTGATTGAGCAAATGGGTGACCTTCATGTAATGAGGGTGCTGGAGCTGCCCATTCCTGATCAGATAGCAAACAACTTGAACTTTTCTGATGGGCTTCAGCACCTTTGGCTTGGTTTCTCTGCTTCTTCTACTTATTGCATCCATTCACTTGTTGGTTTTACATGGTTTTTCAGTATTGACAACTGGGAGACCGTGAAAGGGAAAGATGCTCAGATTGAAAAAAGAGAGGAAAAAGGTACTTATAACAAATTGAGCGAAACACAAAGCTGTCTGTTAACCCTCTGCGATTTTAAGTGCCTTAATTGCCATGTGCGGCACATGATGTCATGAAACTTGGAAAATTTCAGTAACTGGTTAAGATGAGGAAATTGTATGGCGAACAGGGTTTGTTTATTAGATTCTTGTTCTGTCTGAAGGGTTTTAGACACTGTTATTGTTACTTTTGTAGATTTTTACAACATGCTTTCTTAATTCTCCAATTGTATGGGAGAATTTCACCATTGTTATTTTAGTTTAAAAGCCATTTTGGGGATGAATACGAGTTAGATTTAATCAACATCAGTCAAGTTATATGAAATGGGCCATCGAACATTAGTAGGTAAAGCTGAGTTTTCATGAATACGAAATTATTCAATAATGAAATATATAAAAGTTATATTTAAATAATTATAAAAATTAATGTAAAACTAATATGAAATGTATCTTTTTCGAGTCAATGTGAGAAAGTATAATGACAATACTCTATTTTATAGAACTTGTTTTCATTTTATTAAGTTAGTAATCAAACTTAACAATGAGATACTAAAATAAAAATATAATTTAATATATCTTTTTCTATAAAAAAATTAAATAATAAAAATAAAAATGAATGAAAAATTAAATAAATAATTTACCCTAATATATATTATCAAATTCAACTACTAAAAGTTGTTTTACCTCTTCAGCCTGTACTGCCTGAGAATAACGGAGTTTTGGCGTGGCACTTTATTAAACAGTTGGTATTTGGACCCGACTTGACCACCATAAACAACGAACGCGTGAGAGACCAATCTTAAATACAACACAAGATGGTCGTTCCACCTACTTCCTACTTCCACCATTGCTGCTGCTCTCTTCATTTATCAGACAATGGCAATTGCCTCCAATTCCCTCGTCTCTTTCGCTCACCGTTCACTGAGTCAGCCCGGAAGGCATTCCCACTCTCTTCCTTCCTCTTCTATTTCTTTTCCCGCTTCTCTTTCACTCTCTCTAAAACTCATCCACCTCTCCATCTCTCCACTTCATTGCTCTTCAAATGTACCCGACACCACTGAAAAGGACACCCCGATTGAAACAAGTAAGCCCCTTTCCCCCTCCATTTGTAGACCCAAGTTTAACTTCTTCAAAATCATTATGTTCTAATGAAATCTGGGTTTGTTCATTTTTTTTTCTTGATTGCTTCAGGGTATCCAGCCTTTCCTACTGTGATGGACATCGATCAGATAAGAGAGATATTACCCCACAAGTTTATCTATACTCTCTAGTTTTGATTTCTTAGTTTTTTTTAGCTTTCTTTGCTTGATTATCTAATTGTTTTTTGTGGATTTACTTTGCTTGTAGGTTTCCATTTTTGCTGGTGGATAGAGTGATAGAATATAATCCAGGGGTATCAGCTGTTGGTATAAAGAATGTGAGTATAAATGATAACTTTTTCCCTGGACAGTTCCCTGAGAGGCCTATAATGCCCGGTGTTCTCATGGTTGAGGTAATTAATCTTCCTTTCGCTTTTTTTCCTGATGAATGGAGATTTAATCACTTTGTTTATCATTTTAACTCTTGTTGGTTTCAGTTTTATGAATGCTTTATGGCATGCATAGCTTGCTTTTCGAGGATGTCAAATAGGATTATATCAGGATGTATGCAATTGTTTAGTTATTTGATAACTTTTCAGTTATGAATTTACTTAAAAGGAGGTGTAAGACTGGTCTTGCTTTATGACTAGACTTGTATGAAACAGAAACCTATGTTATATGGACTCCTGGTGTGTGTCGGATAAGGTATATGTCCAACATGGATATATGATCAATTTTTCTAAGTTTTTCCATATATTGAGGGATTGTTTCTTAATACACATGTCTAGATATTCATCAGACATGGGCCTTAGATACGGGTAATTCAAGAAAAATAAAGAGTTGGAGTAACATAGATAGAAATAGGGGTGTTCAAATAATCGAACTAATTCGGTAAACCGATCGAACCGAATTAATTCCGTTAATTCGGTTCGGTTACCGAATTAGTTCGGTCGGTTAACGGTTAAGAAAATTTTTAAAATTTGGTTAATGGTTAATTCAGTTCGAAATTGGTTAATTAACCGAATTAATCGAAATTAAATTTTAAATTTTAAATATATTATATATAACATATGGGCTCAGCCCAAACTATTTAAAACTCAATTAACAATTTAAGATCTAATAACTTTTAAACCTAAATCAATATTAATTAATTTAAAAATTTATATAAAATTTTTATTTTATAATTATATATTATTTAAATTAATTGTAAACTGTTTTTTAATTAAAAAATATTAAATATATTATATATAACATATGGGCTCACCTCAAACCATTTAAAACTCAATTAATAATTTAAGATCTAATAACTTTTAAACTTAAATCAATATTAATTAATTAAAAATTTTATCTGAAATTTTTATTTTATAATTATATATTATTTAAATTAATTATAAACTTTTTTTAAATTTAAAAACATTTAATTTTTATATAAATTAAAAAATTTTAAAACTTTTCGGTTAATTCGAAAATTAACCGAAATTTATTCAGTTTGGTTAATATTTTTGAAAAAAAGTTTGATTCAGTTAACGGTTAAAGAAAAAAAAATCGATTAATTCGTTTAGGTTTAACCGAATGAACAACCCTGGATAGAAACCCCACTTAGCATAGCCGAAGTCTTATTTGCTGAAATGCACTTGCAGTAATATGGGGAAAGGAATAAGAAAAAAAATGTCGGTCTAAATTGGAGATTGAACTAGTTTTTTTTATAAAAAAAAAAAAAAATTATGTCACGCCTTGCTATTCAATCACATTAATTAAGTAGGCATTGCTGAGGTAAAACAAGATTGCACAAGTTTCTATGTATGCTGTTTGGGGGCAGAAGTAACAATGAAAAAAAGTTGGACATATCATAGGTGTATTTGCCTAGTGTCTATGGAGCTTGCATCCAATGGTTCTTCAGTTTATATTTTACCTGATTAAATAATCTGAATTGAAATGAATGCTACCATGTAAGGACACATCATGGTGGAACAAGAAAGTAAAGGCCGTTATTAAGAACAAACAAATTTGCTATATACTACTGCTGATACAAAGAATTTTGAGAAATACAAAATGGCAAATAATTTTCAAGACATTTGTAAGGAGGCCATTTGCTATATACTACTGGTGATACAAGGAGTTTCGAGAAATATAAGCTAGCTAAGAACAACCAAAACATTTGTAAGGAGGCTATTCGCTATAGACTACTGGTGATAAAAGGAGTTTCGAGAAATTTAATCTAGATAAGAATGGCCAAGACATCTGAAAGGATGCTTGAGTGAGTCTAAAAATTTCTGATATATTGGACTCAAAAGATGGAGAGAATGATATCTGTAGGCTTGTTCAAATGAGGGAGAAAAAGGCTAAATAGTTGGGAATTGTTATATGCATTAAAGATAACAGTTATATGATCCTGTTGAAGGATGAGGGGATTAAAGACAGATTGATGTAATAATTTTATAAGCTGCTCAATGGTAATTACTCTCAAGATGCAGGTGATTAGACTTTGCCATCAGAAGGACTTAGTTATGACTTTATGCATCTGACAAGGCCTTGCATTGAATGGAAAACTTGTAATAGCATATCAAATGAGTAGAAGAAGATTACCTTGGCACCTTTATTGTATAAATATAGATTACTCAAATTTCAAAAGATTAACACCTATGAATCATACTATGAAACCTGTGGGCAAACTTATTGAGCAATGTTTATGAAAGCATAATAAGGATGCTAATAATCAGTTTGCTTTGTTGGGAAATAAACAGAGTACGAGTAATTTCCCTATGACCAGATTAGTGAGAATGCAAAATAAAAGCGGAAAAATAATACCCGAAATTGATAACGGAGTTCAGCCAATTTTGCCTACGTCTCCGGACTCTGCAGATCTTTTACTAAGAGAGAAAATTTACAGGTATTTACAAAACACTCACTACTTATAAGAAAGCTCTCTAGTATTGGGAGAAAGAAATGATTTGGGATTTTGGGATGATTATGAAGCTAAATGAGCTAGGATATTTATAGTTGAAGTTTAAGGACTAACTTGTAAATACCCTAAAATTCAAGGACTCAATTTTGTAAGAGAAAATAACCTCAGTGACCGAAAATGCCTTATAATATACGACTTTGACCAACTTTTTTTCGATTTGCTAAAATGACCTACAAAATCGTAATGCGATCTCTAAATCGCAACACGATCTCCAGTATCGCAAATCAATTTCCAGATTCGCAACGCGATTTTGACTATCGCAATGCGAATATGTAAATCGCAACGCGATTTTGACTATCGCAACACTGAATTTCAAATTCGCAACAGATTTTAGTTTCGCAACACAAATATTTTGGGTATATAACTACGCAGCAGCAGTAACTCATAACCTAAATCCTTAAATCGCAACTCATTACATCTCCATCTATCACTCTCTCCGACGACATCCGTTCCTATATCCAACGACATCCTTCCCCATCCGACAACAGGTTTTAGTTTCGCAGCTTGTTTGTTTAGTAAATTAATTTACAATAATGAAATCATCTAATGTTGATCATGTTTGGATAGATTTGTGTTTTGGAGGGTCATGGGAGAATGTTCATGGTGTTTTACAATATATGCCTTTACCCATGAATCTTCAACTAAAACTATCATTAAAAAAGTTAACTTATGAAACTCTAATGTTACGTATTGCAAATAAATTGAATTTAGAGCCCCTAAGTGGATTTAGGCTATCTTATCAGAGAAAAAGTAAAGTTTATTTGTTAACCGATAATGAAAATGTTGAACGATTCATTGCTTACATTAGTGTTTTGCAAGATGATGTTACATTATATGTTGTTGAACCTAGAAGTAGTCAAATTGGGTCAGTAGCGGGTAGTAATCAACTAAGTTTTTCAACCCCAGTTTATGATGCTCAAAATTTAATGGTTCCACCACAATTTCATCACCAAGCAAATTTTGTTTCACCACATTTCCAATACCAAACACAATCTCAAAACCCACAACCTTTCCCTAATCCAAATCCCAATCAACTTTCAGCACCAAATTCCAGTTTTCGTATTGACCAGTTAGACGATGATGAGCCAACAGAAAAAATTGTGAGTACTAGTCAGTATTCGAAATTTGATCTTGGTCAATACCCGTTGATCTTGGTCAATACTCGGATTTTGATGATGTTTCAGAAGAAGAAACAAACCCTATGTGTAATGATTTTTGTAGCACCCCAACCCATATCCGACCCGGATACGAATCCGAGGTGTCACATTGACCTTTAAAAACATGTACTTGTATAAAATAGTGAGTAATTTAAAACTTTTATAACATATAAATGACTAATTTACATAAAAGACATTTTCATTATTACAAAACCAATCAGAGCATGTATCTTTCACTTATTATTTACATATAACTATTCGAAACATTTATAAAACGGTTCATAGCTTAAACAATAGATTCTTTTGAAAACATGCCAACTAGAACTTTATATACTAAAATACCTATTATTCACATCTTTTCTGATCTGACCTTTAGTAAGAAGAACTGACCTGTCTTGCTCCACATTGCTCTTTACTCTTCTCGAAACCTACGTGTAAATCACTTACACGCTAAGTCAAAGACTTAGTGAGGCATATAAACATATAAGGTAAACGGTAACTAATAATCATACCTAAACAATTACTACTATCATTTCATACCACTCATACTTTTACATGTAACAAATATATGCATACATATATGTCATTATCATTCATATCTCTTATCTCATGTTCCTATGATCTCTTATGTCCATATCATATAACATATACCATAACCAATTGCACATATACATATCATGTCATGTACACTATATATATATACTATCATAAAACACGTACACCCAAGCAATTATATTATCATCTTCATTTCTTTCTTATTTTATCACTATCATTGATTCCTTTCATCATATGGTCTTATAAGTTACCATTTGTACAATCAATATCACCCATGAAATTCCACAAGGAAACAAACATATCATCATATCATTTTATTAATATTATCTATTTAATAGCCCATGATACTCATGTGAGAACTAAAGATATGCGAGTACATAGAGGTTGTGCACTAACGCTGTCACCACAGCTCATATAATTGCACCGAAGTGCCACATATAATTGCACCGAAGTGCCGCGTAGAATTGCACCGTAGAGCCATATAATAATTGCACCGGAGTGCCGCGTAGAATTGCACCGTAGTGCCATATAATAATGTCCATAAGGACCACATATCATTCCTTAAGAATCATATACATATGCTAGGGATCAAGTATGTGTCTCACCAGACTTCACACATGTTCCAAAGAATACATATATGTCCCGAAGGACCACATTTTCCCGAAGGACCACATATCATTCCTTAAGAATCATATACATATGCTAGGGATCAAGTATGTGTCTCACCAGACTTCACACATGTTCCAA